TATTCCTGGTAAGTAGGAAGAATTATGTTTTGCAGTGCTTTACGCTTTATCCAGTATATTATTTTGCGCGGTATCTCGGCACAATCGCTTGTAAACACTAGAAATTATTGCTTGAGCTTAGACGATTTCTGAATTTTGTCCTCAAAGATAGTCCTTTACATTTCTTTTGAAAGGTTTCCACTTTGCTCAATTAAGCATATTTAAAATCAGGGGCATAGCCAGCCATTTTTTCCATTTAAGCCCAATTTGAAGAGGTCCTGAGAAAGCGAAGGAGGAGAGATTCATTCATTCATTCAGTCGTTCGTTCGTTCGTTCGTCCCTCCTTCCCTGCCTTCCTCCATCCATCCATCTATCCATCCATCCATCCATTCATTCAGAGAGTTGTAAAACTTTGGAACTTGAATGTAAACGGTGCTGTAAACTTGAATGTAAACGGTATTGGTTCTGCATGGCGATAAAAAAAAAAAAAAAAAATATTGAGCACTCCTAGTATTATGTATTTGGTTGTTCATTGATAAAACGTTATTGAATTTTGAAAAGAGTGAAAACATAAAAAGGCCTAATTAAAACAAGTGGATTTCTTGACATTTCAAGAGCTTTTGCTTCTTAAAGATCGGGTCAGTATGGGCTTTGTACCTAGATTTTCTTACTTATTGCCTATGATGTGTTGAGGACTTAGTATAGAAATCCAAGTTATCGCCTAAGCCATTAACAGTTTTCAGAGGGAACATGAAGAACAGCGGGTCATCTTTGCTCAAAAATGTTGTGTCAAATGAGTAATTAGCAGTGATTCGTCAACGAACGGGCACTTTTAGTTAAAAAAAAAATAACCGTGTCACAGTCACACCTTGATAAACAGTTTTTGAATTGTGAAAGGCTTGAACCCAGAAGTCATTTCAAAAGTACCTTGAGTTTGATCGTCCGTGTGAACGTAGTCCTGAATAGGACTGTTGTTGTTGACAGAGACTGACGTTTCGACAACCTGTGCGGTAGTCATCTTCAGAGTCAAAGTGAGTTGTATCAAGTCAGTTGATGGTATTATACTCTGGTTATTGATCTGATTGGTCAATAAAGTCGCGATGTTATTGGTCGTCTGTCAGTTAAGCCTCTCACAAGGCTACTACTATCCGGACTCTGACGAGACGAACGCAACTAGTTTGCGACTCACCTGACAGCCTATAAGACGAGACTGGTTATCTTAACAACGTTTTTAGTAAGAACAATTACAACACGGACTTTGTTAGACGGAACACTCGCAGTGTCACTGATTCCAACACTCAGACCAACTCTGGCCCTGTTACGACAGCGACTATACCGTACATCAGAGGCACCTCTGAAACTATTGCACGTATATTACAACCTTACAATATACGTGTTGCGCACAAACTGATAACCACTTTACGGCGACTGCTTACTAATGTCAAAGACAAAGAAAAACCGGAGGACAGACAGGGAGCAGTATACAAGATCAAATGCTGCGACCGCCAGGCTTCTTACATTGGTGAAACCGGCAGAAACCTAAGCACGCGACTGACCGAACACAAACGAGCGACGAAGAACGGTGACGTCAACAATCACGTTGCTGAGCACCATTCAAAGACGAAACATCAGATTGACTGGGACTCTGCGACATGTATAACGTATTCTACAGACTACTATCAACATCTTACTTTAGAAAGCTGGTTTACTTACTTAGAACAAACGCCACTGAATCGTAGCCAACATTTACCAGCGCCGTACAAACGACTTATTGACGAGATCACGCAAAACCAAGAGAGGATAAATGGGACAGAGAAGGCATCCCCCATACACACCCTATTCCATAGGTAATTCGTCTCGAGTTATTTTCAACACCACATATCTCAAGGGGGATTAGACAACAGCCAATCACATAGCGCGAATGTGTTCCACGTGGATGACCCACGCTCAGAGCTACGCGTCCTTCACGAATTGACGCAAAACAAAATGGTTATATGGGAAGACGCGGAGAGCGTATTGCTATTCGTTTTGTCAACGAAAACGACTACAGAAAGATTTCTGCTAAAGCTGTGTCAGCGAAACGGAAATTAAAAAAGAATCGACCTTCCTCTCTTGTATGGAGCTAACAGTACAGCAGGGAAATCTTTAACACACTGAATATTCTCTCAGGATTATTTATAATTTACAGTTTGAGGAGAGCAATTTCTGGTTTGATATTTATGCTTTTATTAGTCTTTTATTATTCAACAAAAATAACACTTGGCGTCCTACTTGCTTTATTGTACAAACGACTGGTTTCAATAGACCGGCGAAATTTCTCATTTTATTAAAGAACTAAGGTTACGACAACTTCGAGTTAAACTGATTTCACGGGTTGTCAAAGAGTCCAGCGATTCCCTTTTCCCAGGTGAGCGCTGACTCATTTCGCTTCAATATTCAGGAATACTCTCGGTCTCTTTACGCTTTTATTGCCTTTCGCCCGACATGTTTTCCACGGCGTTTAGTAATGCGAAACCTCCAC